CTACTGAAATAACTTCCAAACTGCCTCAAATACTGATCTTACTCAAACTGTTTCTGCCTCTTGTTACCATAGAGATTTATTTAGGAAATTCATATCCAATCATGTCACTCCTCAGTTAAAACCCTTCGGAGATTCCTCCTTGTATCTTTAGATACAATTAGATGCAATTCCTTATTTTTTTCAGTTGTTGTGGCTCCTCACTCCTATGTGGGTCCATGGGAGCTCTGTTAGTGGTCTTGCTGGCCTGGGGGCCGCCAAGGCCTTGTTCACCCTGCTGCCTCCAAGCAACTTCATGCAAAGGGCTCAGCTGTGGCTTTTTCCAGCTCCTGCTCCATGCACTCAGCAGCTCCAGACTGGAAGCAGCCAGGGCTCAAAATGGTCAGAGTGGTTTCTTTCTTCCTCTCATCGTGGCTTCTCCTGCATTCATGCACTCCATAGTCTTTCCTCCTCTTCTCCTGAGCTCCAGCAGCCCCAGCTTGGCTGTCATTGCTTTTTTATAGTTGTAAATTGGTTGATTTGTGGGAGAAGGTGACATTGGGGACCATCCATTCTGCCGTCTTGACTGGAAGTCTGTCTATAATTGGTTTTCTTAAAGTCTATTTTTTCTAATATAATTACGGCCACTCCTGCTCTCTTTTATTCACCATTTTCAGGGAATCTTTTTCCCCCGTCCCCTCACATTCAGCCTCTGTGTGTCCTTCAGTCTAAACTGGCATTTTTATATGCATCACATTGTTGGGTCATGGTTTTCATTCATTCAGCCACTCTATAGCCTTTGATTAAAGAGTTTAATATGTTTTCATTTAGAGTACTTATTGATAAGGAAAGATTTATTATTGTCATTTTATTTATTGTTTTCTGTTAGTCTTGTATATTTTTTGTTCATCTTTTCCTCTTGTGTTGTCTTCCTTGGTGTTTTGTTGATTTTTTGTATTGATACTCCTTGATTCCCTTCTCTTTTACTTTTGTGTAAATTCTATAGTTATATTCTTTGTGGTCACCATAGACCTTATATAAACTATCTTATAGTCATTTCAGCCTATTTTAAGCTAATAACATAAGTTCAATTATAAACAAAAGTTCAACACTTTTACTTCTCCCTTGTCCACACTTTATGTTATTGTTACCACCATTTACATCTATTCATACTGAGTATCTAGTCACATATTTTTAGTCATAATTATTTTTGAATACTTTTGCCTTTAACTTTTATATTAGAATTAAGTGATTTATCGACCACCGTTATAGTATTAGAGTATTCTATATTTGTCTCTATATTTACTTTTACCTCTTTCTCATGCCATCATGTTGATGTTTAGCATCCTTTCATTTCAAGCTGAAGAACTACCTTTAGCATTTCTTGTAAGGCTGGTATCAACATTTCTATTCTGGGTACAAATTTATGTCTCGTATATTTTTGAAGGAAAATTTGATGAGCATAGTATACTTGGTTGGCAGGTTCTTTTTCTTGCAGCACTTTGAATATATCATGGCATTGCTAGTTTGGATAGTAAAACGTTGTGAACAGCAACATGTCCAAAAACACTAATAACTGGGAAGAGAACAACAAGACAAGGATGCCTGCTGTCACCACTTCCATCAACGTGGTGCTAGAAGCCCTAATGGAGCAATCAGACTTGAAAAAGAAATAAAAGCCATCCAAATCAGAAAGAAAAAGGCAAAATTATCCCTATTTGCAGATGACGTTATTGTTTATGAAGAAAACCCTACAGACTTAACAAAAAAATTTAGAGCTAATAAATATATAAAGAAAGGTTACAGGATTCATACTCAACATACAAAAATACATTGCACTCATTTGCAGGATAATGCCCTATGTCAAAATAATTTTTTAAAAAGTTTTTGAAACCCCATTTATAATAGCACCATTTCATTACATCTGTGGCTGTCAGGTGGTAGTGGAGGCTTGTTTCCCCACAAGACCTCGCTGACTCTTCCCTGGAGGAGTAATCAGACAGAGGGTGGGGTGAAGGTCAGCTCCCAGCTTGGCCCCATTGAAACCCAGCAAAGGAAGAGAATATGATTTTTACATTGGTGTTAGTCTAGAGTAGGGTGAATATTGCTAAAGGGTGAATATTGCTGTATTGTTAAGACCACCCTTTTCCCAGTTCTTTGCCTAAGATACAGGCTTTCATTGGAGCTTTTTTTTAATTTTCTCTCTGGTTGGAGGCTTCTGCAGCATCCACTCCAGGATAAGTGAACAGCAACATGTCCAAAAACACTAATAACTGGGAAGAGAACAACAAGACAAGGATGCCTGCTGTCACCACTTCCATCAACGTGGTGCTAGAAGCCCTAATGGAGCAATCAGACTTGAAAAAGAAATAAAAGCCATCCAAATCAGAAAGAAAGAGGCAAAATTATCCCTATTTGAAGATGACGTTATTGTTTTTTTTTTCTTTTTGTCTTTTTTTCATGACTGGTAACGGGATCGCAACCCTCAGTGTTGCGCCCGCACCGCACTCAACCAGTGAGCGGACCGGTCTCTATATGGGATCCGAACCCTCGGCGGGAGCACCGCCACACTCTACCGAGTGTGCCACCAGGCCGGCCCTGATGACGTTATTTTTTATGAAGTAAACCCTACAAACTTAACAAAAAATTTTAGAGCTAATAAATAAATAAAGTAAGGTTACAGGATTCAAAATCAACATGCAAAAATAAGTTGCACTCATTTACAGGATAATGCCCTATGTCAAAATAATTTTTTAAAAAGTTTTTGAAACCCCATTTATAATAGCACCATTTCATTACATCTGTGGCTGTCAGGTGGTAGTGGAGGCTTGTTTCCCCACAAGACCTCGCTGACTCTTCCCTGGAGGAGTAATCAGACAGAGGGTGGGGTGAAGGTCAGCTCCCAGCTTGGCCCCATTGAAACCCAGCAAAGGAAGAGAATATGATTTTTACATTGGTGTTAGTCTAGAGTAGGGTGAATATTGCTAAAGGTTTTCTGTTTTATTAAGACCACCCTTTCCCGAGTTCTTTGCCTGAGATACGTGCTTTCATTGGACCTTTTTTTTTTTTCTCGAGTCGGTTGGTTGGTGGTTCTGGTTGGAGGCTTCTGCAGCATCCACTCCAGGATAATGGAAGTGATAAGGAAACCCAGGGACTCACTGCTATTTTATTCCTCAAATCCCAAAGTCTCTAGGCAGTTCTTATTCATTCTACATTTCAGTGTCTTCCTGTGCTTGTTTGTCATGCTGCATGTAGGGGCTTTTTAGTAACAAGAGGGAGGTCCTGTAACGAATGGGACTCCATCTTCAAAGGAACAAGAAGTCAATGCCAACAAACATTTTATATGTTTATCCAGTTTCTTATTTATTTTTGACCAGCAAGTTGGTATAACCCAAATTTTCCTGCCATATCTAGATGTGTAAATCTCCCTACTTACTTTGAACAGAAAGGAGTTTTTAGAAAGGAATGTGTCAGAGACAAATAAAAGTCCCCTGGTGTCCTCAAAGAACCCTTCACTCCACCCCTCCACAGAGAATGTATGCCTCGAAAGAAGTCAAAGTATTAAGAGGACATATGTGACCTTGATCTTTTGCTTAACCTTTTGTGCCTTGTTTACATCCAATGTAATACAAGAATTGGGGAAAAAAAAAGCTTAACAGAGTTATATTGAGAATTAATTGGGTTAATACTGGTAAATCACTGATTTACAAGTGCTTAGAATGTAGTAAACAATGTGGTATTCTTAGCTGCTATTTAAAATACTTTTCATACTGCTACTACTACTATTATGAACATTTGACTTCTAAATCTTCTAACTCTCCAACCAAACAAATACGTAAGGGAAAAATTATTCAGTAGGATGTGATAAAAAATCTTTTAGTACGCTAGGCCAGATCTTATTTGCCAATCTGGGTTGTGCTAATGTCAAGGGAGTGGCACAGATGTGGTGGGTATGGGTTTGCGTAAATGCCTAAGTTGCAAGAGGACCTGATCTGAACATTCAATCACTTGACTCAGGCTGAAACATTCAACCAGTCAGTGGCCAGGATGCAAAATCAGCAGAGTCAGTGAGTGGTTCAAGCGAGAACAAAAGCTTCGTTTAGCCATCATTAATTCACTAATTTATTAATTTTTTTCTTTCCTTCACTTCACTTATGCATTTGTGATTACTATGTTCCAAGATCTGTGTGAAAATTAAGTACACAGGGGAAGAGGAAAAACATTGTAGCTATCTATAGGAAGCTTCCAGCATTGTGGCAGAAGCAAATATTGAATATGTAACTACAGTGCACTGAGTATTTTTATGAAAATTCACAGGGTTTTATTGGAGGATAATGGATGTACCAAATGTGGCTTGAAGCCTCAAGAAGATTTCCTAGATGTTGGGAAACAACATCTACATTGGTACATATCCCATAAGTATGTGTTAACCAGGTGCGGGGAAAAACTGTACGTACAGGTATATTGAGCATTCTCAAGAGAATACACAAGGTTCTGCAGCATGGATAACAGGTGTACCTGAATTGGCCTGAAGCCTCAAGAACGCTTCGTAGAGGATAGGAAACGACATTCAGGTTAATACTGTAGCATAAGTAAGCGTTACCCAGGTGCATTACTGTCTGGTTCCACTTTGTCATTTCCTCTCAGAACGGACTCAATCACAACTACAATTATCACAAACATTTCAAGATAAGCTGCTGCTGAAAATGGACATAGTCTTAAAGGTTTAGGAGTACAGTGACCTCAGCTTATATCAAAGAACTACTTTTGAAAATATATGAATGCACTCTAAAAAGAATATTCAGCATGCAAAGTATTTCATGTAAAACAATTTGTTTTTCTTAGTTATAAATTTAACTTAATTTTATTTAAGGCTAATAACTAATTAGGGGCCTTTAATTGACTATTGAATATCTGAAAATCCACTTCCTACATAAGCTAAAAAGCTCCAAACTGGATAATTATAGGTGAACGGATATATTTCAACCACAAGTACTCAATTTTCTTTGTTATTACATCTATAGGATATTATTACATGAAATCCTACAAAAATAGAGATGTCACTAAGAAAATATTTTTCTGCCAAGCTCTCTCTTCAGAGCCCCCTTAATTTCCTTGTTCCTGAGACTGTAGATGAGGGGATTCAACATGGGAATCACCACCGTGTACAACACAGACACCACCTTGTTCTGGTCTGTTGAGTAGCTGGACTCGGGCATCACATAAATGAATGTGATGGTCCCATAGAACAGAGTGACCGCAGTGAGGTGGGAGGTGCAGGTGGAAAAGGCCTTGTGGCGCCCCTCGGTGGAGCGCATCTTCAGGATGGTGATGAGGATGTAGATGTAGGAGACAGCTATGACAAACACTGTGACCACAACAATGGAACCAGCAGTAAATGAGGGGACAATTGCTGAGACGCTGACATCAGAACAGGAGAGTCGAAGTAAAGGAGCAAAATCACAGAAAAAATGATTCACTTGATTTGGTCCACAGAAGAATACAGAATAGAAGGAAAAAGTGTAGGAGATAGCATTGAGAAAACCACCTATGTAAGCCACTGCAAGTAACTGGACACAAACTTCTGTGGACATTTTAGTTGAATAAAGCAATGGGTTGCAGATTGCCACAAAGCGATCATATGCCATGGCAGCCAGAAGGAAGCATTCGACTGTCCCAAAGAAAGCAGTTGAACCAAGCTGGATGGCACATCCAATATAGGAGATTGTCTGTCTCTCCACCAGGAAGTTTACAAGCATATTGGGTGTGACAGAAGATGAATAGCCTATGTCAGCAAAAGCCAA